ATTACGATAACAATTTTTATAACTTGGAAAATTTGGGAATAACTGAAATTAATTGCGAAATCCAGCGAAAATCACCCATGAAATAAAAATAATTGTTTGTACGAAAAGTAAGGACATACGCACATCAAATTGTCTTTAAATTTAAGTCGCAGCAGAAGTATTATCGTTCAACATTTTTAAGCTTAAATATTAATGCAATACTTAAATGCAGCGATCAATTTTGGGTTCTCCTGTAGTTTATTGTTGCCTATCGCAGACGGCAGCAGTATGCCTCGCATAAAGAAATCTCCGCCAACAGAGGACCAGATTGCAATCAAAAGAGCCAAGACTGTTGCGAGGAAAAGATAGCCCCGTGAAAATGAAAGCCCAGATCGAACGGAAGCCAGGAGAGTTTCCAATGCTGAGAAAATGTAAAGCGTTAGGGACTCTCAAACTCCTAAACAAGTCGAAGGCCCAATCAAGAGCAGCTTTTAAGCTAGCATATATATATATATATATATATATAATTATTTTTTTATAAAAAAAAAATTGTAACATAAGTATGTTATAAAATCACTACAAAAATAGCCATTTTGTTTCAACACACTCTGTGTCTTATCAAGTGATGATGTTGAAAATAAAATAAATGGTTTTAAAAGTTTCAGATTAATTAACGATCCTACACTAGGGGGAAACATTGTTACAAAAGCTAGAATAACCAATCAAAAACGAAGTATAGAAAGATTCAAAAACTTGACAACGAAATCATGTTATAATAGCTATTCAGATCTTTTAAAATACGTGTAATATTAAAATAATTTATACTAACCAATAATTATAAAATTATATGATAAAATTTAATATTAAAATTAAAAACTGGCAATTTTAAAATCCAAATTTAATCACTATTAAGTTTTAAAACTACAAAATTATTGAGAAAAGAAAAAATATATATGTTTATTCAATTCATTTTTTCAATGAAATTACGTTCGACAAGACGGTACAATATATCCGGTCATTTGACAATACATATATATATATTTTTTTTCTTTTCCCTTTCTTTTCCTTTTTTATTTTAAAGTGTGTGAATGTGGTCTTAAACTCACGCGCAAAACAACAAAAACACAATCAGATTATAATACATAAGCACCCAGACATAATTAGATACACACACACACACACACACAAAAAAAAGGGGGGGCGAGACATGAACAACTCTACAGCCCTTTATGAAAAAAGGAGATGTGGAAGCCAACACTTATACACACACACAGTTAAATGTGAATACACTCTACATACACATAGACACCGATAGATACACATACATACATCCACAGACAATGACATAGACAATCAGATATCACAACCAATAAATATTTCAGACTTAAAGTATCATTAAATAAATGCTAACCACTTATTAAATTATAACTTAAGGGAGCAAATATACAAAAGATAAAAATGGTTAAAATAATATTATTTAATATATTAAAACGAAAATTCCAAACCATAAATATCAATAAAAAATATATATTAATCATATAAGTTGATAATAGTTTCATTATATATTAGGCAAAGAAAAACAGGAAAAGAAACCCACAGATACATATATATATATACGCGGCAGCAAACACAAATTAACACACATAAACATACACTCATACATACATATACATACAGAAATACATACAAATAAATATATAAACATAAACATATACACACATATACAAATCTATGATAACAAGTACACATGCACACACATATACATATAAACCTAAATACACACATATATACACTGATTTTTATGCACACATACTTACATATATAAAAACAGTCATGATATACCAAAGTTTCCATACCCACACATACACACAAACAAACTCATACATAATAGGTGCCAACACATACACATATATATACACACACAAACATACATAAATATATATACACACATACATACATATCTACAAATAAACATATACATAAATATATCTATCTACAATAACAACTACCAATATATACATGCATACATAAAAGACAACACTCAGCCAAATACATATATAAACGTACTAACATATAGATACATAAATATACATTCAAATACCAACACACAGCAATATATATATAGCCTAACATACAAATATGTAAGCACATTCATACAAACAGAAATATACCTAAATATAAATATACATACACAATAAAATAGGACACATACAGATATATACATATATACACACACAGATATATATATATATACACACATACATACACACATACACACACACATACATATATATACAAATATATCGTGGCACAAAGCCGAAATTAGGGGGCACCCAGTGAGGAACGAACTCATTACTCAGTCGCAATTGATCTAGCGAACCATGAGAACCAACCATTATACCGCCGTGATTTTATCATACATACACATATACATATTTATATATATATACATACACACACATACATACATATACACACATACATACATATATATATATACACACACATATATATATATATACATATATATATTTACATATATACATACATATATACATACATATACACACATACATATACACACATACATACATATACACACACACATACACACATACATATATAGGCACACACATACACATATACATCAACAATTATTAACCCTTTCTCTTCTAATCTACCATACCTTCCCACATTATATATATATATATATATATACACACACACACACCCACACACACACACACACATATATAAAAAAAAACATATAAATACACTTATACTTCAAACCTACACATTCCTCAGTGCAAATACTCTAACCAACACATAAATAAATATATACACATATACACCAACACTAATATCACTATGCAGGTAAACAATACACACTTATATCGTAAAAAGTATGACCATCATGCAATAAAAATACTAATCTATTAAAAATACAGCGACATATCATTATCATTTAAAGTATACGACCCCCTACACTAAGTTAAATTTATAACGGTGTTTACAATTAACTGTAAGTTCATATCTTTGATTTGAGAGATCAGCCTTGTTTTTTAAATCTAATAATTTCAAATTTTTTTCATTAACGCATAGGTAACATGGAACATATAGGGAGTTACATGTTTGAGCTTTCTTAACCAAACTCCATTTAACCGTAGGTGTTTTGTTCTTATCTTTTAGATTCCAAAAATACTTGGATAATGAAGTCATGTACCTATATTCACTGTGATTAAACGATTGCATATGTCCCCGCCAGCGTTCCTTGAATGTTTTCATGGTAGAACCAATGTAAAACTTCTTTATATTTGGATTTTCAATTGTTGAAATAGTACTAAGATAGACTACAGAAGTAATCCCACAGTTATTTTGTAGTGGACAATTATTCGGATTCCTACAATTACATAAGTTGTTATTTGTATTCTTATATTTAGTATTGCAGTTAGTAACCTGTTGAGTAGTCAAGCCTTTTGAATTCCTATACTTGTTAAAGACTATGTTGTTATGTTTTTTTAATTATCTTCTCAGGTTATCAGCACAACTATAGCGTAATTTAAGGGTATTAGGATTAAATATTTTACTAAGTGGGTTAGTTTTCAGTTGGGGAAATGTTTTTTTGATGAGGTTTAGAAATATACGCCCTAATTTAGTTTTAACCATTATATTGAAAGGGGAGTGAACCAAATAATCTTTCTAGATCTTCTTTTCTTATTATGGTTTGCAATTAACAGGGGTTTTTATATTGAATAGTGGTATTTTTGTATCCACTATTTTTTAGTGCAGAATTATAGAAATCACTATGTTTATTGAAAACCTCCTTATTATAAGAGTTAGCGCTAATTCTAAATTCAATGGAAGAGGGTATATGTTTGATAACTGAAGGGGGATGGTTGGAATTAGGATGCACGTATAATGGGTTGGAATTAACCTTCACATATGGTTGGAAAATGTTGTTAGCAAGATCTAGGGTGACATCTAGAAAATCCACTTGTCTAACATTAGTAGTAACTATTGTCCTAAGACCTAAATCCTTAAATATCCTATGGATCATTTTCCTAATACGGTCTACCTTAATTTTAGTCAAGTTTTTAACAACTAATAATCCATCATCTCTATATAAACCTACACTATCTGAATCTAGACAATCGAAGGCACTTAAATTATATAAAAGAAATAATCCAACCAAGTCCGAAGCTTCAGCAGAATCCAAAGAACCCATGGAAATGTCAAAATTGTTGTTGCAAGACTTTTTGGTCCACTGTTCATCCTTGTAAATCAGAACAGAATTTCGGCATTTCATGATGATGTCAACTTCACTCTCAGAAATAGTAGAATATTCCCGGGCGAAGTCCAAGGCCAAGGTGAAAAGATCCTTCGATAATAGTCGATAATATCGAACTGTATGAATGTACATTTTCCCTTATATCGTATGTTGTTAAACCAGTTGATGACATCAGTTGTGTTAATCCACTGTAGCAGTCCAAGGGTGTTTTTATGGAGTGGTTGATTCTTTCTAAGATGGTCTTACTAATCCTACCGATTTCTGGTCTAGTAGGGTTTATAAGTCTAGTGGATGGCTTAGTTTTGAATTCGGGTTTATGGTCTTTTAACAAGACATAGGCTTCCTTAATTTGTAGTTTGCCTACCCGATCACTAATCCGTAACTTATCAGTAATTGATTTACTGATACTGTTAATATTATTTACTTGGTTGAAATTACTTATATCAATCTATATATATATATATATATATATATATATATATATATATATATATATATATATGTACTGGACACTTCTGTAGATTTTTCGACGTATGAGTGTCAAGCAAATTCAGTTCTAGGAACCAAGAACCAGACACCTGCACATAGGATTTGATTATAGTGGTCAAAGTTTATGCAGAACCAACAACACTTTTTTGAAGAGCTGAATATAAGGACCTGGTGCACTACGTGCCACAAGGTCCCCAAAAAACCCTCCGTGGGTTTTGAATTCAGAGTTGTCTTTCTCCTAGACCAGTTGCTATGCAAGGAGATAGATAGATAGATAGATAGATAGATAGATAGATAGATAGATAGATAGATAGATAGATAGATAGATAGATAGATGCCAGGGAACGATAATATTTTGTATAGAATTTTATTGGGGAAAAGTATGACAAACTGGAGAGATTTTATGAGACGCTTTTCGTCCTCTAGGCTTTCATCGGACTAAAGTTTTGTTTACGTTGACGTGGCTACACATGCGCATGGAGGAGAGGGGACGCTGAAAATTTTCAATTTAAATTTTTTTTTTTTAATCTATGTTTTGGGGTATATAATTTAGCCGAATTCATTTAGATTCTTTTTCTTTTTGTTTATGTTTCCACCACTTTTGTTATTAAATACCCCATCTTGTGAGGATAGAACTGCCACGAATGGTGAAACGTTGTAAGAACCTGGACGCAAATTTGACTGTGGAGAATCAAGCGAATAAAACAGTTTCTAAACATTTAATAAAATGTTTCCTCTCTTAATTAGAGTAGAATTTTTAAATCAAAATTATATTCAGTTTCATTACAGTGAGCAACTAATACAATTAACGAGTTGTTTTGTAAAAGATCCCTTTTGTGTTCATATAATCTTTATTTAAATTCCTCAAGATTTCTCCGATGTAATCCTCGTGGTAAATTAACCCTTTAAGTTTTAGCTTCTTATTTTGTTTTGTATTGATAAAGTTTTTTTTTATTGTTTTAGACGTAGTTATGACAAATTTTATGTTGAATTTAGATAAATTCTTTTCAATTGTAGTAGTGATAGAGATGGTGGGCTGAACAATATATTTTGATTCGATGGGTTTATCAGGAGGTACCGCTTTTCTATCTAAATATTTTATAAGACTTTTATTTCGGATTGAATATGAAATAATTAGGGAATTGGAAGTGGTCTGTTTTTCTTTAATATATATATACATACATATATATATATATATGTGTGTGTGTGTGTGTGTGTGTGTGTGTGTGTATAAACAGATTATACTGTTATTAAGTAAAATCTATATTTACTAATGATAAATGGAAAAGCTTACTAGAATTCATCGACCCCAATACACCCTAATATTTTTTCTATATGACGATTTTTTTGTAAATACGGACGTATATATATATATATATATATATATATAATGTTAAAAGTAAGACCAATAACTATAGGTAATTTAAAGCCAAATTAAGTAATTTTTACAGATACCGTAGATAAACTTCCGTCTGTCAGTCAAGCTATCAACCTGTCATCTACCCTAAATAAACACCTAAAAAATCAAACACCTAATAATGAAACCCTAACCGCACTTGACATTGAAAGTTTATCAACCAACGTCCCAGTCAGGGAAACGATAGATATAATCATGAAGAATATCTACAACAATCCATCTCTCCCTCCATTAAAAACTAGTCCTAATATTTTAAGAAAACTACTCTTAATCTGCCCCACAGAAGTTCCTTTATGTGACCATCAAAATAACATACAGGTACAATGCGATGGTCTTTCTATGGGTTCTATCCTGGGACCAACATTTAGCACCTTCTACATGACTAATCTAGAAAATAACGTACTTAATGCTACAAAAACCCTCCATTTACCTATGTAGATGATATTCTCAAACTTTCCAAAGAACTCCGTACATAATTTCACATACGAACTTTAAAAAGATAAGATCCCGTTTCTTGATGTATTAATAGACACTAATAATAATACTTTTACTACCACCCCATCTAAAAATTAACTAGAATAAACACATGCACTCTCAACTATAAAAGTGTATGTTCTATAAAAATATAGCCATTATACTAAACCGTGCAAACGCAACAAGAAAAATTTTCTATACGGAATTAAAAATATTAAGCAAACCCTCATTAATAATGAGTTTCCTAATTACATCGTTGATGAACAAATTACACGAGCTATTTGGAATATTAACATAAAAATTGAACATAATTCGTTCTCAAATAACTCTAACATATTAAACTACTATACTGTAATCAAATGTATTGTAACTATAAACAGGAAGAAAGAATTCTAAAAATGACTCATAAACACGATCATATCCCCCACTGATCCAAGTAGAAAAATAAAATTAATTATAAACTATACTAAATTTAATACAGTCAACCTAGTCATCCATAGCACCTGTACTTCTACTAGCATCAACTAGCATCTTACAAAAGACCAATTGCATGTGTGATAAAATGTATATATATATATATATATATATATATATATATATATATATATATATATATATATATATTTAAATATGTTTGAAACAGTACAGAAACATATTATGGCATAAAAGCAAGAAATTTTTATATTATAGGCCATGATAGATTTAAAATAAAAACAAAAACACACACACACCAGTCGACCGGTTTCGTCTCCTCTCATCAGATGCTGTGCTGCGCTTCTAGCATCTTGGTATAATTTTTATAATTATATTTTTCTTCTCCTTGTCCATTCATATTCACGTCATCCATGACAGACTTTCTTTTCTTTTCATAATTTGTGTTCCCCTTTAACAGTTCTGATGAGGGGGGGGGACGAAACCGGTCGACTGGTGTGTGTTTTTGTTATTATTTTAAATCTATCATGGCCTATAATATAAAATTTCTTGCTTTTTATGCCATAATATATATATATATCTTCAAGAAAAACAGACCACTTTAAGGCTCCATTGTAATAATTTATTTCACCAGAGACCTTTTAAAGTACCCTGGATCCTCATACATGTATGAGGATCCAGGGTATTTTTAAATTATTACAATGGAGCCTTAAAGTGGTCTGTTTTTCTTTAAATTATTAGCTCTGAATTTACATTGAGCTCTCAGAATTTCATCCTCCTTGGGACTACCCATACGGATTACCAAGATTTTCGTAACTTATTTATATATATATATGCGTGCGACACCTTTGGAAAGTGACTGAAAACCATACCGTAGGTTGACTCAAGCCTTGTGGGTGAAACTGGATAGACAGAACACTTGGGGGTCATTGATATCTGTCCTGGCACGAAGTCAACTAAGGTCTGCTCAGTGTAGTTGCAGTTGCTAAGCTTACTATTACTAGGAAAATGTTGTTCTATTAATGCCAGAAATCCCCTTTGTTTTTTTCCCTTTTTCTATTAAAACCAGAAAATACCCTTCCAACCTTAAGACATTCCTACTATCTTCATTCGTAAAAGCTGAAACCCCTTGATAAAAAATAGGAACTCTCATAATACCAACATTTCCAACTGATAAATAGAGTAAACCGATTTCGCCGTAAGTTATTCTTAACATCGCTTGAGAATGAAACCGTACTCTAAATTTTAAGTTTAATTTTGAAATTAAACTTTAGGGCTAGAGTTTCGGTTTCGAAACATAGTAATTTCTGTGTATATATTTTTATGGGACCTTACCCATAATAACATAATGGACTATTCCATACGTAATAAATACTGCGCCTCAAGAGGAAGCAGGGAGTTCAGCCCGAAGTCGGGCGACGGGCTGATCGGTTGAACTCTCTGCCTTCGGGCGAGGAGGAACCCGAACGAGGCTACGCCGAAGGGCGGATTCTCTTTCAGGGAGATAAACCGACCCTGAACCCGTGTATACGGGTTCAAAGGGCATATTTTTGGCCGAGCCCACGGGCTCGGAGATCCCACGTTAAACCGGCCTTGTGCCACATGATGCCCTCGTGGGGGGGTGACTAAATACCGTTCAGTATGAAGTCTATCAGGAGTCTGTCAGTCGGCCAGTCAGAGCGATCGAGTTAGTCAGTCGAGTCAGAGGCAGTCCGAAACAGAGTCGCGTTCAGACAATTTCTACTAAACCTGATTGTTCGTACTAACACTTTCTACTTCTCTGTATATATTCCTGTTTGTAATATATCTGTGTTATTCCATATCCGTGTTCGAGTTCTTCTTTATTGGTTCTAACTTGGACTATCACCGTGGTACAAGGAACCGGACCATAACACACAAATATATAAATATATATATATATATATATATATATATATATATATATATATATATATATATATAAAAAAAAAAGAACAGTAAGATATATAATCCGGTGTTCTTATAGATATTTTATTTTTGAAACATTATTAGAACTGTGTAGCAAAAAAAAAAAATATATTTTAAATCAATTAATTTATATATATATATATATATATATATATATATATATATATATATATAAAAAGAACAGTCAGATTTATAATCCAGAGTTCTTTGCATTATATACTACAGTTTGAAGCCACCCAAGTTTGTACGGGATGAACTTGACAAAAGGATGAAAAAAAAACATGAAAATTAACTCTTAGAGTCATTGAAAAAAGAATGGAATCCGTTATCAAAGTTATACTTTGAGAAATTTTTGCGACGAATGACAAAAATTTGTGCTGCAGCCATCAAGGCTCAAAGAGGATAGTTCAACGAGAGAAAAAAAAATTAGTTTTAAAAATGTTTTTTTTATCATAATAATATTTCTAATAAAAATCATGTCTCGCTATTTTTTACTTTTGGCGCCAATTTTAAACAATGCCAGGGTTGGACTCAAACTTTTGAACTCTAGTGTACATATGCTTTTATTGTGTGATATTAAAGTTCAGGTTTTTTTTTATTTTCACTGATATTTTTTACATGAAAGATAAAAGAATATTTTCATTTTTTTTTATTAAACATGATATTTAACTTTTTGATTCCATCCATCACAGAAATCAAATTATGGCTTCACTGAAATTAAAATCCATGCCGACACAGTAGTTTGCAATAAACATTCAAGGAGTCACATATTCATCTTTTAAACTTTCACATACAGTCTAAATTCAAAAACCTGTGCATCCTCACGTACACGGGCACTTGAATTATTCTGTCTGTCTGTCTCTGTCTTTTTGCCTCCTTCTCGCTCACTCACGCACACACACGCATAATTACAAGTACATACTTACTCAAAAAAAAAATCGTTTAAATATATGCACTCAGACCAGCTAACAATCCAGGCTCGTCAAACACTCTAATTGTTTATAGGTTCCAACGCACTTACATACACAGTTTGGAATCCTGTCAGTGTGTTCTCTTGACAATGTGTCAAACTGAAATCGTTAGTTACTGTTGTCATAGAAAAACGGCCTGGATCAATCACCTTGACAACGAATATTAACGTCATTTTTGAGTCTAGAAATAACTGGTAACCTAGGTCCGGGCAAGAGTCTGGATCACGTGATCTTTAGCTGGCTTTGGTCAGAACCATCACAGCGAGACTTGATCGATCAATCACTCGATCTATCTATCTATCTATCTATCTATCTATCTATCTATCTATCTATCTCAGTCTGATCAAATTATTGGTGTATCTAAATCCATTTCGTCTCATCAATCTTACTCTATTCACATCTCTCTAATTATCTATCTATGAATCTATCTGGCTGGCTGTCTTGTAGTTCCATTATTTTACTCATGTAACTCAGTAACTTTTTGTGTAACATCGAATCAACTAGATTCTGTATACACCCTTCTCTCTCTCTCTCTCTCTCTCTCTCTCCTCTCTCTATATCTGTCTTATTCTGTTCTCTCTTTCTCTCTCTCTATCTCTGTCCCCCTCTCTCTCTCTCTATCTATCTATCTATCTATCTATCTATCTATCTATCAATATATATATATATATATATATATATATATATATATATATATATATATATGTATATATTCTGGTACTCTTGCATGTCTTTTAGTCAACCAACTGGTATGTCTATTTACATTTATATCTTGGTCACCCCAGGAAATTTCCAGCCGACTATCGTATGTGTATCTCATCACTCTAGGGTCTGATCACATCTATCTATCTGTCTATCTATCTATCTATCTATCTATCTGTCTATCTATCTATCTATCTATCTCACTTTGTTCTTATGTATTTCACTAATAATACCATATATATATATATATATATATATATATATATATCAATGAAGCGGTCAGTATATATCTAGAGGAATCAAAAATATTAAATAATAATAAGGATAATTATCGAAGATCGACACAAATTTTGGAAAAAAAAACAATAGATATATTTGTGTGTGGGCTTGCGTGAATGCGTGTTTTTGTGTACATGTGTGTGTGTACGCGTGGGGGGTCATTGGAATACTTTTTTATTTAATTGACATGCAAGAGCGCAATAATTTTTTATTTGAAATCAAAAACAATTCCGTTGATTCTGCAAGTTTCGTTAGTACTGGATAATGTATTTTAGTTTTTTGTTTTTTTTTTTGTTTTTTTTTTATTTTTTACCTTTGAAGTAAACCGAAATTTGTCATGAATATATATTATATGCTAAACATTACTTTTAAAAATATTTTAAAAATATTAAGAATTAAAAAACAATCAGAACAAAATAAAATAAAATAAAAATCAATTAAAATAATAAACAAGTAAAAAGAAAGCAAGGATCAATATGAAATAAATATATATATATATATATATATATATATATATATATATTAGGTTGATTGCAAAAAAATAATGAAAAAAAGAATATCGTTTTTTGACGTACGTATATATATATATATATATATATATAGAGAATAGATAGATAGATAGATAGATAGATATTTATTATAACATCACTACTATGAACTTATTCACTCCTTCTTGTAAAATGTGGGTTGATGTTTTTACGGCACTTTGCTATATATATATATATACAGTGTAACCCGGATATAAGAGAGTTGTCGGGACCGGAGAAGAAGTCTCTTATATCCGGGTTTCTCTTATATCCGGGTTTGGTCTATTATATATACATTAACACAGGCTCTTATATCCGGGTTACACTGTATATATATATATATATATATATATATATAGCAAAGTGCCGTAAAAACAACAACCCACAGTTTACAAGAAACTAAAAAATAGTGCACGAAAGCACTAGAGTTCTATGTAATTAAAGACTTCCGAAAAAATTCCGTTATAAAAAAAGTCATGTACATTAAACATCTCTCCTCTGCCTTGTTTAACAATGGAATCGACGTGCTGAAAGGCTTTAAAAAAAATAGAAATCGCCCACTCGAATTCCAACCATGCCCAACACACGACTGTTCGGGATTAACGCTCCTACAAGAATTCCAAAACACACAAATAATACATCTCACACATTCAAAACATGAAAAGAAACTAACAACACCAAAACAAAAAACCCTTGAAAATGGCTGAAGAGTTGGCTGAAAGCGCTTGGGACAAGGGACTATATGTTCAGTTTTTGTACTCCCTTACTCCCACCAAACGGAAAACGTAAAATCCCTGGAAAAGAATTTCTACATAAAGAATTATACATATATATATATATTGTAGCGGACCCTGGCGGTGATGAGTATGTAGAAGAATACATGTGGGTAGAATTTCCTGCTAGCCAGTCCAGCTACACGAGAAAGTTGGACTTTAATTAAGGCCAAAGAAAACAAACAAGACCGATAAATATATGTAATCAAATATATGTATTAATAACAAGTTAAAGGTTACAAACACATGGACAGTTACATGGACAGAGTGCGTGTGGTGAATATTATGTATGTGTGTGTGTGTGTGTGTGTGTATGTGTGCGTGTGTGTGTGTGTGTTGTGGTGAGTGTTCGTACGTACGTGTATTGTTCTTAGCGTGTTCCCAGAATTTGGGAAACGCTGTTTCTGTGAGAGCTCACATCTGCGAGGTGGTATAAGACCGAAGGCCTGAGGAAAAAAGAGATCGAGGCGAAGGGTCAGCCAGTATTTATAGCCAGGGGAGAGAGACCCCTGGTGAAGGCTTAAGGAGCTGAGGAGGAGCTAACTCCGACAATATATATATATATATATATATATTTGTATAATTAGGCAGCAATCCTTCCTTTATGCATGTTTCGTTAAAAACGACAGACAAGGTACTACAGTTGAGCTTTTTATTTAATTTTTCTTGTGTTCTGACAAGAGCTTTCTTTTCTGGACAAAGAGTGTAAGAACTGTCCGAATGTTCTGTTTTTCCAAGCGCTTTCGGCTATACTTTTAGCCATTATCAAGGATGGTTCAATGATGGATATTCATTATCAAGTAGAGTGTGTGTTTTATGTATTTTCAGTGTGTGGTAGTGATGTTTTAGTTTCCGAATACAGTTAGCACTTTTGTGGCTTTGTTCATAATTGATATTGTTAAGAGTTGGCTTTTTTTTTTTTATTATTAGAGCTTCCATTATTTTTAGTCTTTTTTTTGCAAGTGGATGCAGTTAATATATTAGTGTTTTCTACTAGTATGTTCCTAATAGTGTCGGTTAAATCTGAGTGTGTGTTTAAATGTGTTCTGATGGAACTGTGATCAGATAGGTGTAATGTAAGACGTCTGGATAAACATGTGGTTGTGTAGCCGATGTAATTATTTATGAGTCCGGTTTGGTGAGGAACGCAGTTCCTTAAAGGGCATTTGAACTCATAGATAATGTTCGTTCTTTGTAATTTTGACTTCGTTGGTGTGTTGTTATTTTTTGAGGATAAAGGTTGGCCGTCTTAAATTTTTATAATAGATAATAAGTTTGATTTTTTATCCGGGTCAATAAGAGTAGTATATTTCTTTATAATATGTCTTAGAGCAGATTCATCTTGCTTGTAATTAATATGCATTTGGTTTTTGTAATAAATGTGTATGTGATTTTTAGTTGTGTTCGCTATCATTATTACTTGCTTTGGGGAGGAATATTCTAATTTGTTGGTCTATAAGTTAGTTAGGGAAACCGTTGTTAATTAGTGTTTGTTTAACGTTGTTAAGTTCTTTGAGAAAGAGTAGTCGAGTGGATGAATTCTGGTGGGCTCTATTTAGAAAGTTTTTTATTACAGCTATTTTGTACCTAAGTGGACATTCGCTTTTGAAATTAAGGTGGCACGAGTTTTTTGCTGGTGGGTTTTTGTATAATGATGTAATGAAAGTGTTATTGTTATGTTCAACGAGGATATCTAAGAATGGTAGTTTGTTTTTTTGGCTAAGTTCATATGTAAAATTAAGGACGGAGTTTTTCTCAAATGTGGTCTTAAGCGTCTCTATTTCTTTAATGTTATCATCTAAAATGAATATATCATCTACGTAGCGAACATAGATTTTCGGTTTGTGGACCTGTGTAAATATGGTATTTTCTACGTAGGACATATAATAGTTAGAGAAGCATGGACCCAATGGATTTCCATACTAACACCATTAGTTTGGGTATAAATATTGCCATTATGGTCATAGAAGGGGACTTTGGTTGTGCATGCGTGTAGTAATTTTTTTTATGATAGGTGGTTTGATGGATGGCGGAGGGATGGAATTATTATTGTATATAGAGTTGAGGATAATATCGATAGTTTTATCAACAGGGACGTTTGTGAATAAGTTTTCAACGTCCAGTGACGCTATTATACCTTGATTTGTTCCATTTGTAGTTTTTAAAATTTGTAGGAATTCGTGGGTGGAGGTGATGCTGTAATTGGTAGGTAGGTATGGAGTGATGATATCGTTAAGGAATTTTGATAGCTCGTAGATAGGTGTTGGTATCTGGGAAATAATTGGTCGTAGCGGGTATCCTGGTTTATGTGTTTTTATGTTTCCATATAGGTATCCCGGTTGGTAATCTCAACTATTTTTTTGAATTTTCAGGGAATCGACTTCCGCGTTGTGAGCTGTTATTAGCTTGTTAACAGACCTTTTTAAATTCTCAGTGGGATTTCGTTTCAATTTGGTGAATTTAGATCGGTCATCAACGATATCTTTTAATTTTTGCTGGTAATCAGCTTTGTTGACTATAACATATGTGTTAGATTTATCAGCGCGTCTGATGACAATGTCAGCGTT